TAAGAAACTGGGTTCTTTAGCTGACAGGGCAAAGGCCAAAAACTCTGGTAATGAACCTGTACGGCACTGAATGGAAAAAACCCAAGGATCTGACTATAGGTAACAATAATTCCCTAGGTCGCCCTACCTGATTGCTACAATGCATCATAAAAAAGCTTTACCAGCTCACCTACTTACGGAGTTAGGCTGAAAGCATACACCCAGGAAGATGCAATATACAAGACATTATTGAAAGTATATTAATGTATTTTTCTCTTTTGCACATCCTTTTACATATCATTCTTCCCACCTATTCTTTTAGAAGCATATATCTGCCTGGGATAGGACTGTTAGAACAGGAATACAAAAGAAAGGAAAATTTGATAATCAACTTTTGATGTCTTAAATACATTGAATCTATGGCAAAGCAAGCCTTGAAATTTCAACTCCGTAGAGGAAGAAAGTATTTTCCAAATTATTTTAATATCTCATTAACATGGCAGAAGCCATATCTGGAGGGATAATGATTGAGTTTTACAATAAGGCAGAAATAAAGGGAACTAAGAATGCAGTGCTACAAAAGAAAGGGAGTAAAGTGGGGGTACAGAGAAATCAAGACTGAGCATTTGCCTGATGACACTAATTCCCAGGGAAATTATTTAAGATAGAGAGCCCAATATGGTTAATTGGCAACTTTGTTCTTCCCCCCTTTACATTCCCCTCTGCCCTATACCTACTCATTGTGGAGGAGGGCCATGAAGATTATACTTGTTATAGACTGCTACAAAGTTGCAAATTCTTTGCATATTTGAGTTGCAGGGTTTGTAAATTCACCATGGCTCCATTGCAGAAGCTATTGTGAGGGGAGATCAATTCTCTGACTACCTGAGAACTCACAACTATGCCCTAACTCATTGGGCCTCAACAAAGTCCTGAATGTCAGAGTAAATATTTCTGTCCCCATATTCTAGAAGAATCAATCCAGCCTCATACTTTGTCATCCCATTCCTAAAAGTTTTTAGAATTTTTCACATTAGGGCTGAGTCCCACTCAAGCTGAGCAGGTAGATTTTCAGAAGCCCTGTGACTGCTGCTAGGCTGCTCCAAAAATTCTACTCAGGTTCCATTCATTTGTCTCTGTCTCTTGTTCCAGAAGGCATGACCTGCTTTCTTCTCCACTTTATGCTGCTCAGCATTGCTGTTTTCTCTCCCCCATTCGTTAGTTTCTGGCCTGCTTTGTTGCCTAATCCTCAATGGGGGAAGTCAGAGGAGACCAGGATTAGGACCCAAGTCGGGAATCCAGTGCTCAGAGATCAGAATTGGGCAGTTTGTATTGGGAACTCTGGGAAAAGAAGTGATGATCTTGCCTCAAAACAGAAGCACCACACTACCTCTGCTGATCTGTTCCGGCCTGGGGTCTGGCCAGTCCTGCTTTGATTTATATGAACACTGGCAAATTCTAACACACCATTTCAGAGAAGTCAGAAGCAAATAGGTAAATTACACCAAATAACCAGATTACCAAATAATTGTAACTGCTCCCTTCCCATTAAGTGGTTGTTTTCACCCTCTGGCGAGCACAGTTAAAGTCGAGGTGAGTCTTAGCTTTACTTTCTTAGACCGAGCTTATTCAAAACTTTACATTTTGGTACATACTGCTTTGCAATGTTTTTAAGAAAATGTGATTTCAATAATATTCTGAGAGTTTTTAAAAAGCCAGCACTTTAATAGCCAAACAATGCTTTAATATTTGCCGGAGTAGGGCTACCTTGTTTGACATGGTTGCTCATTGCACTTTCGAATCTGTGGCTCTGGCTTGGTTAAGTATTTGCATTTCTTATTGTCCACAATGCTGATATTTTTGCTCATGATTTTTGTGCAGGACACTGTTGTCTTCCTTTCGCCTGAAAAGAGTAAATAAACATATAAAGAAATGTTAATATAGACCTTTATGTAATTAATATATTCAGGAAGTGTTCACAGACATGTTACACTTTCCAAAGATATTTAAACAAATATTAGGTTACACCAATGAAGATAGTGTTATTTATACTTTACATAAAAAATGTATCTCTGGGCTTAAAGAAGATGAATGGTAATTTTTTTTCTAGTTGGAAATTAAGTGGTAGGTTTTATATATGAAGTGATTGTAGCAACATAAGTTAGGATATAAAACTAAAGTTTTGTTGTAAAGAATTGTGGCCATCTTTTACCACTAGGTGGTTGAAGGTTGTGTTTGCATAAAACATTAGTTTACTCTCCCTAATGGGCCTTCCTGGAAGCACATAAACATGCAAATAAACACATGTGCACATTTTATCATTTGGTGGTATGTCATCAGTGCTCAATAGTGAGTTATGAGAAGCAAACTTATTTTGAGTATAATTCGGACCTTTATTCTTATCACCTCTGATAAAGACCCCCTAAGTTCTAGAAATCTTTACTCTCAAATAATTGTCATGTTCTCTAAGAAAAGCCATGGAACTCTTACCATCTTTCACCAGATTTCAGAAAACTAAATTGTCTACTTCCTCTGGTATGATAAAGTCTGGTTACAGGGGGTAAAAATGGCAATTTCTATGCTGTATTCAGTTTGCTTACAGCCCTATAAGCACATTTCCTTGACAAGACTTTTATTATTCATCTTACACTTAAAGTCTAGTAAATATGTGCTAATTTATTTCTCTTTATACAAGTCTTATATGTAAATTTCCTGTGAGTTAAAAAAATGATAAACACTCATATAAGATTTCATAAACTCATTTAACTTATTGTTTGACATTATAAAATAATTAAGTCAGTCAACAATTTTTTTTT